AATACAGAACCGTTTTCTGATTGTAAAAGGTTGCAAATTGGGAATGTTCTATTTTTCCTGTAACACGTCATTGTATAATGTATACCTTCTAATTAAATTGAAAACAAATCAAAAACAGTCAATAATTTACTGTAAACGAGGATATTTTACGCGAATAAATATGAAGTCCATTACGCGCAGGGTTAATTTCTGCATTACCAGATTTATGTATAATGGCATAGGATAGTTTTGTACTAAAGAAATTATCGTGGGGATTGGTTGTATAAAGTGTCGAAAAGTCGTACTTTTTGATGTTATTGATTTTTGGAAAAAAAATGTCATTTCCAATTTTCTAGAAGTTTTTTTTGTATTCACATCTGATTTACACTACCTTTGGATATATTGTTGTACAGTACTCCTGAAGTTTCTCCTTCACTGCTATAAATATCTTAATCAGGAGTAAAGAAAGAGGCTTGGTAGAACATTTACTGAAACCCACTATGTATCTTTGTTTGAACATGCCAAGAAATCCCGTCCATTTTTCCACAGCGATGGAGTCAATAAAAGTGTAATTGATGCAAATCACCCATATTCCCCTAACGCTGGCGAGACGATTAACGGCAGCAGATTTGAGGGGGTGGATCCTAAGTTTTCCGTTTTCTTAGTCAAAGAAAAATAAACTTCTACCCCCAGGAAGTAGCCTCCTATGCCCTGAAAAAAATAGTTCCTGTCAAAAACCTCTATTTATTTACAAAATATGTAAAATGCACTAGACACAGGTACCAAAATTGTAAAAATAGACTGGAAGGAAATTTTAAAAAAATTCAAAAGGAAAAAATAATAATTTTATATGTATGGAACTACAATTGACTAAGTTCATTTTCATTGGTCAATTACCGCTATGATACCTTAATAAGGCGCGAGACTTCCACAACAACCAAATTCATCGTGCCCGATGTTAATTTATACTAGGAAAAAAATATTTTGATATATAAACACTGAAAAATTTGAAAGGCGTCTAATTTTTACTGAACAATTAATTAGTTCACTACAATTTCTTTTTCTTCTTCTTCTTTTTTTTTTTACTTTTTTAACCGCATATGATTTGCATGGAAAATCGCCCCCCCCCCCTTTAAAAAAAAACAACAGGAAAAAAGGTGCAAAGGCTTCTAAATAGTAAGTATTCTAGCTTTAATTTCAAACCAGTAAAACTTAAGATCCTTCCCTCAAAACTGCTGACATTAATTGCCTCGCACACATCTCCCTGGGGAAAAATCACAGATTAACGCTAATTCCGCTTTTATTGACTCTAAAACTAGAATGCGTACCTTTTCTTGGCATGGGGTTTAATGAAGTTTTGGAATCATTTATAGGGATTGTAATTCAAATTCATATTGATTGCTGGAAATATTAAAAATATTTAAAACTGACATAGGGTTTTGAAGAATTTCCTCCTTAGAAAGGGAGCTATGGGTATAAGTTGGATTGCAAGTTGCAGAATTAAATCCTAGTTCCTCTAAAATACAATTCAAATAATAAACCTTAGAAACAAAGACAATTTTGTACCTGCTTTTTCAGGTGGGACCAGTACATACTGATCGTGTAATCTTTCTAAATCTTGTTTCACTTCTGCATTGTGCGAGAAAGAAAGACAGATGGTTTTCATTTTGCCTCTCAATCGCTTAATGATTTCAACATCCATCTGATACTTTTAATCCATTCTGACAAAGTTTCAAGCTCTTCATTTTCATAACTGGCCCATCGTCTGGCGTTATCTTCCATAGAATTCGTAATATTTATAAAAATATGACGCCAGTTGAAAGATCGGGGTTCCCTAAATTTTGGCCCTTTCATAATAAGTGATTTAAGGTCATCATTATTAACTATTAACGCCACCAGTATATGACTTGTCCAGCAGGACTATAGTTGTAGGTTGAAGAAGAACATGAACACGTAGAAGGACTATGTTTCAGATGTTCGATATCTAGGCCCTGTAAAGTTTTTTTTATTGTAATTAAAAGGTGTGGAAGCAATTGTCGATGTATATTTGTAAGAAATACAAGGTGTATCAAGACCTCAACTTGAAATATGGTGGATTACAAGACTGGCCCCTTTTGTGATTAAGAATAATACTTTTATTAACTGCACCAATTCCTTTGTTGGCATATTGAAGTTTAAGGAACAAACGGGTTTTTTGACTGAATAGTATTTCCTTCCGTGAAACGTGGCGGTTTAATGAGCACATGATTTGCAATATCCATAATCACAGATCGAGCGTATATTTTGGTGTCGAAGAATCCAAATATGGACTTTCCTTGACTTTTACAAATAGGCTATTTAAAACTTCCAAAGGGACAGAATAAAGTTTGGTGCGAATGTGATGAAGGCCTATCGTTTTATTTACATAAGATAGTAGTGAATCTTACCATCGTGTATAATATGTTTATTGTTTGACCGATGTTCATGACTACGCTTACGTCTCTGTGTCCTGTTAAAAAGTCCCATCACATTCACATTGCTACACATATCAATCAATGAATTAACAGTATAAACATTATTTTCATGCCATGATTTTAAGAAAACAGTCTTTTTATCCACCTTTATAGTTTCATTAAACCACAAACATTTTTGCACATTTCTTTGGCAATGTTTTCTTTTGCAAAGCTATTTAATTGTTTGAGAAATATCAGTGTGTGTCCCTAAAACAGACTGCTACTGTAGATTCCTAAATAATTTAATTTTGTTTGTATTCTAGCCTCTGATTGGTTAATATCCAAAAAGGAACACAAATTATTTCTGTATAACCTGGTTTGGTATGGGGACACACCCCCCTGACAACCAGCTGAATCGTCTGTATCCATGCAATCCTCTCATTTCCAGTCCTCGGGATTCATGGAAAATTCCAGATTTAATAAATGTACCTTTAACTTCAAACAGTAACTCGGATCTTACCACATGTAAACAAAAAACATGGCTGCTAGGACTATGTATCAGTTTTTACCTCCCCTCGCTTCCCATCACTTCCGTTACTAGGGTTGTATTATTGAGCGGCAAATTTGAACTAATAAAAAGCAACGAAATTTTACACCCACAGTTGTTTAATGATTTTAGAATTAAATTATAAGGAATGACTCTAATTCTTGGCCAAATTATTCGAGGATAACCTGGTTTGGGTCAGTTTACGCTGTTTTATAATCCGCTTCGCGGATTATAAAGCGTAAACTGACCCAAACCAGGTTATCCTCGAATAATTTGGCCAAGAATTAGAGTCATTCCTAAAATATACGCGAGGAATTAATTACCGCGTAATTACGCGAGAAGCACCACTCGCGAAATAAAATTACTCGCTTTCATTTTTATGGTGCTGAAATCAATGTAAAATCACTTGATTAACGGTCCACTCGCGAATTATTGTTCTCGCGATTTGGCGTTAAAGAGTCATTTCGCGATAATAAGTACTCGCGAAAATTAAGGAATCTACAGTATTTGACTGTGTCTTGCATTTCATGATATTTTATACTTGCATTGAAATGTTCAATATTAACCATTTTCAATCCCATTCCTGAGTAACAACTGCTCTTTTAATTTTGGAATGTGGATTTTTCCATTAATTTTGGATTTAAGCCACATTAGGTCAGTCGTGTGACTGAGTATAGGAAACGATCTAGTGTGATACCGGAAAGTCCTGATTTAAAATTTGAAACAATCGCAGGGTTGTACAGTGTGGAAAAACTGAAAAAGAATTTTTCATCGATTGAACTTGATATAACAAATATCACTGGTGTAAACATGCAAAGATGTAAGTATTTGTCATGTGATGTGATGACTGATGTAAATAGAGACCAGACCTATTAAAAACTGTCAATACATCTGTAAATTAAGAATTACGCAACGTAGTTTTGTATTTTAATTTATTCCTTGTATAATTGACGAGTTCCAATAATTGTAGGACCTTTGTGGCGTTTTATGACCTCTGACTAAGCTGTACACCTCCTCTGAATCAAATTTGTAGAGTTCATGTACATGAACGGGCATTTGTCCTTAAGGGCCCTCTAATCACCGATGAAAAATGTTTCTGGAAATTATATAATATAAAGATGTAAATATGGAGCCTATCTATTTAATTTTCAGCATAGGGTACCTGCCATTTACCTCCAGGAAAAATATTCAAAGAAATGAAGAGTTGTTGAGCTATAACATATACAATGACAGTCACTTTTCCTGTAATGTTTTGGGCTTTAAAATGAATATTCTTAAACATGCACGCAACAACTAGAATTGGTACTAAACGCATAATGATTTGTTAATTCGATAACAAAATTTTATGATACAAGTTATAGGTTCATCGTCGGTGAAAAAAACAACACATTCTTGTTTTCATACCTTGCACTTCTCAGGAAAACACATCTTTGATAACGATAGAAGTGCACAAAGCTCTCATTATTTTTTTTACAGAATAAAGAAAAGGTGGTAGCACAGCTTTTCATGCAGGTTAACAAGTTCAACCTAAGCAGTTAATTCCGATTATCTTGCAAACACAGCTCTAGGTAGTCCTTTCGTAAAATGATACCTACGCCTGAGCGTATTTCCATCTAGTGTAGGTTTTAAATGACAGAAAAGGTGCTTATATAAAATGAAAGTAGGTGTCATGGGAATTTTTTCTTTACTAAGTATAGATCCTGAAACATTTCAAATTGGACCGTTAAAATGGACACCATTAGAACTATCCATATGTAAGTTTTTTGTAAAAAAAAAAAAAAAAAATGACTTTAAATACACGGGGCAGTAAATATACTTGATATTCTCCAGTTAAACTGAGAACAAATAAAACTTGAAATGATAAGTGAAAACATTCTTGAGAAGAGTTACATTTTTTGTACTTCACTTGAGAATAATTTGATTTTTTTAATATCCCTGGACTATGTATAAAAACGTTACTTAAAACTATATTAAATATTGTCAATATTCAATAACGTATGAAATATTCATTAAATTCACCCAGTATCATTATTAGGAAGACAGCCATGCAGCGAATATCAGAGTCAGTGTTCGTGGGACTGTGTCATAAACTTGGAACAGCACAACAGGTGGCCATGAGGAGAGATATAATGGAAATCATTGAGATGGTAAGGAATCAGAAAGCGGCTGCAATAAGTGGTTCTACGGGTTCGCTGTTGAGTGGAAGTCAAAGAGAAGGATTCAGACTGAAAGAATCAGATTATGACATGATGCTATGGCCAGATAATCACCGTGTGATCTGGGAATTATCTCAGTCTCGGCATTACAACACACACAGACAAACACTGATCCTCTGTGACTGTTCTGATAGTCCACCAGGATTCACTTTGCTATATTTACTGTCACCAAGCATTCTCAGAAAAGTCCAGTATGCTTGTGTTAGAATGAATAATAGACAGTATATATCTAGTTCCAAATACAGACAGATCGTGTGTGCCCTACCCACTTCAGAGTACCTTTCTCCACACGGACCATGTGCCAGCGGATCTATTGGACCACTTGAATATGATATTGCCCATTGTTTTGTTAGTGACTTTTGGCCTCCATCTGCCTCTTCTTGGAAAGACAGATGTAACTCATGGCCCCATCCTAATATTGTTGATGATATTGTACAAAATGGATGTCACTTTGTAGCAATAGGACATAAACTAGGAAGAAATGAAGGCAATGAATGGAGAATTTCTTTCTCTCTGGCAGAAAACAAACTTGTGTATGCCATGAACCATTGTCAGTTCTTAACCTACGGTTTACTTAAATTGTTTTTAACGGAAATAATTAACAACGGATTAAGTGCTGGTAATAAATTATTGTGTTCCTATCACATGAAGACAGCAGTTTTCTGGGTGATTCAACAAAATACAATTCCTCATTGGTGTCCACAAAATCTCCTTGAGTGTTTCTGGGTCTGTTTTAAGCTAATCCTTAAATGGGTGTATGAAGGAGTCTGTCCAAACTTTTTTATTCCTGCTAATAACATGTTTCTGGGTAATATTCATGGTGCAGCACAAAAACATTTATTCATTAGATTACATGGATTGTATGAGAAGGGTTTTGTATTCCTGCTACACAGTCCCTCTATTAGATCTTCCATTATTACTGCCCTTTATAACCCTAGACACTCTATCCGTACAGAAGAACACACTCAGATATCTGAGAAGGAATTAGATTTAGAGCTATTTACAGAACTACAAAAAAATGATACAATATGCATGTTCAAAGCACCTCTACAGAACTGTACAACGGACCTAGAGGCAATAGAACAAGTGATTAGTGCACATCCCATGACACAGTATCAAATCATTATGTTGCAGAAATTTACAACCTCTATCCTTCAGAACCTTGCTTTTATATTACAGATGATGACTTGTGCATCTGAAAACAAACTGATGTATAGAGCTGACATGATACTCTGTCACATGCTGAAATTAGCCGCCAAGTTTGGTTGTATCTCTGACATGCTGTACATAGCTATGTATTATTACAAAACACTTAGATACAAGAAAGCTTTATCTATAATAGACGTGGTGAAGGTTAAGTTAGCACACCCATGTGTGATATATAACTCTAATGTAGATGCAGAGATGTATATAGAGACTGTAGGAGGACAACCCTTGTCTACAAAGATGAAACAAGCGGTAGCACAGGACATCAAACTTGAAAACCTAATCTGTTATATTTGTGAATTAATACCAGAACAACAGTCTGGTCTAGAGGACACAACTTTTTTCTTATCTGTCCCACTCTTTGTGCTGTTACACATGCTAGAGATCTTGTGTTACAGACAGATAGATACAATAAGAGCACAAACAGCTCTAGATGATCTACAGACTCTAGTTCACTATGATCAGGGACAGTTTGTATATTCAGATCTCAGAGACATATCCTGGCAGATACTTGGAATCTGTCAACAGCTGACAGGGAACCTACAGGATGCTTGGTACTCATATCAACGATCTCTCAGACAACGACATTTGATAAATAGAATACAAAAAGCTACAATAATGAGAATACAGAATATTTGTCAATAAACATCATTGAATTGTTACTTAACGAATCTCAGACATTGGTAAAAGTTTACATAATCAATACAGTTTTATATTTCTTTTTATTCTGAATGCCCTGAATGACCTTTGTTTTAAGTTTGCATTTTTTGTTGCGTATTACTAAACAAACGAACGGTACTGCCCATAGAAAACTAAGCTGTTGAAGAAATTACTAACTTAAGCACCCTGTTGACTTTAATTTCAGCAATGATTAACAAGATTTTAATTATGTTGTTTTGCTTACTTTGGGTATACAAGTATGCTTACTATATTATAAATTGTATAAAATTAAAAGTATAGGGATTATTTAATGTTCAAGTTAGATTACTTAAGAATGTAATGTGATCATAAAGTTTAATAAACCAGTATGGTTGAAATGATACAGTATTAAAAGAATTTCATACAATGTGGATATCTTTTGATTTAGTTAAATAATTGTCATTGCACCACTTGATCTCATTATACAATCACCAAGCCAAGTATATAAACAATAATTAAGTATTTCTAGATCTGGAGAAGTAAAATGTGATACGATTTATGCTGGTCACATGTTTACAGACAAACATGTGTACATAAGAAAGACAGACAAACATACAGCTATACATATTAACAGACATACGCCACGTAATCTGCAGGCCCGTAGAAAGCAATTTCACTTTGGGGGGAGGGGGCACAACCATATATTTTCAGTTGGGGGGGCACTATAAATTTCTCAAAATTCCTTGACAAGCAAAAAAAGTCATCAGACGTTATTATTGAGGGGGCACAAGCATATAGTAGCTATGTTTTCTATAGTATCAATAGTATTCTATTTGTCGGCAAATTTATTTGGGGCACGTTCCCTTGTCGACCGATCGAACTATCGGTGATAACTGATTTGGTCACACATAAGGTTTAAGACGATTTGAGATCAAGTAATCAAGGTTATATAATGTATGCCATGACTTATTATACGTGTATATTTTTCATTTTAATTTACATTATTTCACGCAAATGAAGGTGAGTTGCAAGCTTTACCGTTTTCTTTTGCATATGCATAATTTTTTGCTGTGATTTAGATGTGAAAGTACCTATGAAAATTTCTACAGCAATGTGACAACTATCACAAGATAACAGCTTTAAAAGATAAGGGCTGGGGACACTTAATCTATAAGATCAGAAAGTGCAAGGATTGATATTTCGTAGTTTAGAAAGGGTGAATTAATTGCATGATTGCATAATGTCAAATTATTTTCTAATGGGTTAAAAAAGTTCATTTCACATTTTTCTTTAATTTCAGAAAACAAAGCAATAGGAAAATAATTAATATTTTTTGGAATTTCATATTCAGAGAGTCCAATGTTGCTACTTTTAAAGTTTCATTTGTGAATGGCACGAGGCAGGCTACCAACAGATACTGTAACTGCTTGTTACAGGGAAGATGTTAATTCTGTGGTCGTTATAATGACCTTATCTGCAAATAAGACCTATCGTTAGGTCTTATTTTGACTGAAATATTTCATAACAATTGTTAGGTCATTGTTTTTACACAAAATTTGACTACGGATTATTCTGTCTACTTGATCAATACATATAGATCTTACGGCGGGTGTAACCGGTGGACATGGGATGATTACTCCTCCTAAGCACCTGATCCCACCTCTGAAATTTCCAGAGGTGCGTGTTTTGCTCTGTTCTGCTCTGTTTGTATTCTATATAGGTATTTTACAGTTTATTATCTTTACCTTTTCATAAAAACGGGAAGTCAGATTTTCAATCATAGGATGTATCTTCTGCTCAGAAAAATTAGACAAAAAGCAAACATTTAATTAAAACCCTCAGACAATATTATTTTTTACATATGCAGAATTTTTCACTTTTCTGTATACTAGTAAGATTTCAGTCGGCAAATCGATTCTTCTGAAAACTGCCAGTGCTTTATTTTTACCAAAATTATCTGTTTTGTAATAAGCAATATATGATGTAGAGAAATTAAAAAAAGACCAATCCTGCATATGCACCTTAATGTCAAGCAAATCTGTCATTTGTATTTTTCAAGAGGTAAATATTTTCAAATCGGAAACAACCTTCCTGTGATTTCCTGCTCATAAATAATGCTTTAAATTCAAAGCACAAGTGATTTTGTAAAACCGGAAAGTATGATCTCTTCAGGAAAACACTACTTTAGTAATTTAAAAATTTGTCGAACTTTTTTACACCCTCTATGAACTAATCAATTCATGTGAAGTTTGTTTCTAAAAGCTTGTACAGTGTTTGTCTCAAGTTGACACCTCAGACTTCACAAAAAGTTCGAAAAAACAAATATTTCCGTTTATACATTAAGATTCGTCTTTATCGTTCATGAATTTATATCTTAAAGGATCATCGGATGACTTCTTAGAGAATTCTCCTAGTACCGCCATCCTAAATAAAGATTATACAGGGCCGTGAACAATCGATTATTTATGGGGTAAATTTCCATTACCTTTCACCCCAAGAAAAATAGTTTTTTTCTGATCGTTTTCTGATCATAAACGGTAGTAAATAGTGCATGTTCTACCTTTCCTGTAAAATGTCATTGTTATAATGTATACCTTCTAATTCAAAACATCAAAAAAACAGCGAATAAAACACTATAAAAGTGGATATGTTTACGCGAAAAAATACGAAGCACATTACGTGTCTGGCTTATTTCTGCCGGAACAAAGTTATGTATTATAGATCTAGCAAAAAAACATTTTTAAATTTTAAACAAATAAATTAAGATGTTAGAAAAATATTTTCGAAAATGTTTTAATTAGTTGATATTGCATGTTTTCTTAATAAGATTTTAAAACATTTTACCAAAATAATTTAGCAAATTTTATCAAAACATTTCATTCTCGAATGGAACGTAAAAAAAATTCAATCGATCAATCAATTTAAACACTTCCTTAAAATGTTACAATATATATTTGTTGTCTGGATTTGAGTGCACCATGCGTTTTGTTGGACCCAAGAACCAAACTTTGTGCCTGAAGCGATTAGGCCGAAGGCAGACAGTTTGGTTTGATAGGTCGGGTCGGGGTTGCCCCAGAACACAGTTAATAAAAGTTTTGTTATACCTTCTACTTACGCTCAATAAGACATTGGAACATATAGACTTTTCCCAGCATAAATTTATGTAGGAATCAATTTTTAAATGTATAAAAAATGCAATTTTACAAATGTTATAATCACATGATTTTGTACGTATCTTAAAAGGATTTTAAAAAATTTTAACAAAACATTTCACCAAATGTTATCCTAACATTTTAAAATGTTCAAAAGCATTTTCAAAAATGTTTTATTCACGTGTGTCTTGTTGTGGCCTTCAATTCAAGATTAATATATATATATAGACGACGTTTAATCAATTAATACTATATTTTCATTCCTACCTGCCGTCACGGTAGCTCAGCCGGTAGAGTTCGAATCACAGCTACGACTGACCTAATAAAAATTAGGTAGCAACTGTCCCTTCGCCAAGCGCTCGGCACTTTGAAGTGAAAGTTGAGGGTCCTTGGGGTGAGACCTTAAAAACCGAGGCCCCATATCTTGATAGGCGTTGGCACGATAAAGAACCCTCACTGCTCAATGGCCCTGAGTGCCGAGTATAGGTCTTAATTTGAAGCCCTTCACCGGTATAAGGTGACGTCTCTATATGATTGAAAAATTCTCGAACGGAACGTAAAACAACATATAATCAATCAATCATTCCTACCATGGTTCGATATACCCCTTTGAACTCGATATAAATAATATCACAGAGTCTGACACATCTGTTTCATATTTGGATATTTTACTAGCAAAAGATGAAAGATAACCTTACAACAAAACTCTATGATAAACATGATGACCTCAACTTTTCAACTTCCCTTATTTATGTAGCAATATACCATTATCACCTGCAATTGGAATTTATGTTTATGGAATTATTTGATTCGATACGCAAAAGCATGCTCTACGTGCGAACAATTTCTAAAAGAGGCAAACTAATGACAAATACGTTAATGATACAAGGATATGATCAGTCTCGTTTAAAGTCATTATTTTGCAAATTCCATGGTCGATACACCTCGTCAGCTTATAAACCTATCATTAAGTCAAATGCTGACTGACGTTTTTCATACCAATTGCTAGGACATTATTTACACACTGAATTGTCTACGGATTTTTTCATTTTTTTTCCGATCATGAAAACGAGCATATGGCGGTTTTGACCGGTCAGCAGGGGATGCTCACTCCTCCATGGCACATGATCCCGCCTCTGATGTTTTGGAGGTCCGTGTTTTCTCTACCCATGATTTGTATTCTTTGAATGGACTTTTGAACTTTAATACTGTTTGTTATCTCAATGTTTCATTCTGTAAATTGTTTTTGAAAAGTTCTAAAAATGATTTTAAAAGTATGTCTAGTTTGCAGATCTTATTTTATATCATGTTATGAAAATGTGTTAAAAATATGAAATAAAACAATCATCTATAAATTTGAAACATTGTACGTTACGTTTCTTAAACATTTTAGAGGAACATTGTCAACATTATTCTAAATTCTTGATATTGCTTATAGTTTAATACTTTAATGTTTTCAGCTTACAATGTAGGTCGTGAAAATGTTTTAATAACATTGAAGAAAATGTTCTCTCTCCCTACAACTGAAATATGTGGAATGAGGGTAACCATTACTGTCTTTTTCTTGTAAAATATCCAAATATGAAACAGATGTGTCGGAATCTGTGATATCTTTCAGTTCAAGCTCACTGGGATATATCGAGTTGACATATCAATGGAAGTATTGAAATTTATGGAGATAACAAACAGTATTCAAACTCAAAAGTCCATTCAAACAATACAAATCAGAAGCAGAGCAAACATGGACATCTATAACATCAGAGGTGGGATCAGGTGGCATGGAGAAGTGAGCATCCTCTGCCAATCGGTCACACCCGCTGTGTGCTCCTTGTCATAATCGGGAAATAACGCAAAATCCGTCAACAATTCAGTGGGTAAATAATGGCCTAACAATTAGTATGAAAAAGTCAGTCAGACTTAATGATAGATTGTATTGCTGACAATGTCATAGTATCGATTATAGAACTTGTGAAATGATGACTTTAAACGAGACTGTTGATATTCTTGTTTCATCAACTTGTTTGTCAATAACTTACCTCGTTTTAGAAATTGTTCATATATATGTAGAGCATGCTCTTGCGTATAGAATCAACTGAGAGATACACCCCATATGC